GGCTCATCCATCAATCAGCCAATTGTGTGTCATGTCCAATCTTATTTTGAAAAACCGCGATAGAGCGAGCCCATGATAAACGAACCGCCAAGTAGCGAGTGACTACTGTACATCTAGTAGTTCCATTCTGAGAGTTGTATTGCTCTAATTACAAGATGAATAATGAAAGTTAAGAGTACAAAAACCAGAAAATTTCTTAAAAACACAAGGCAAAGCTAAAGGAGAATAATGTTTTCTGCTCATGCTACCCTTACTTTATACGTACTCACTCCTGACAATATGTGAACATTATCTGCTTACTGTTAGTCTGACACAGTATGGCATGTTTACCTGCTGGGAGAACCCACAGAAGAACTGATACAGGAACTGAGGGAAGATGAAGCATACATTCTGCAAAGAATAAAGACAAAAAAACACAAGTGAAGAAAGTGATGAGCCAATGACAGGTGCAAGTGAAGCAGTTTCAAGAGTCTAAATGTGCAAATATCTCAACAGTCCTGTTTGTGGAGAAATTGTGCACTATGAGCTCACTGAGTGGGCCGAAAGAAGTTGGCCTGCCAAAAAGGGAGGGAAAAAAAAAACCAGTTGGCAGGGCACTGCATGCTGTGGAAGCCGCCCACACCGATCATCACGGCCATGAATCCAGGAGAATGTTGCACAAGGGATCCATAAACCCAACAATCTGTCAGAGACGCTAAAAAAATCTGGTTCTTTGTAGCTCTGTTTCGCTGGGAATTTTCAAAAAGTGATTAAAAGATGTGAGCCCCCTGAGTGCACGAAAATTTGTCTGGTACCTTGTAGAAGAAGTACTGAACTAGCTCAGCAATCCTGATGTAGTAGTAGTGGCCGTGAACAAGCAGCATCTTCTTCAGGTGTTTGAACTTCGGTATCGCGTAGTCACTGTTTCTGGCTGCCTGTCGGCCTTCTTTACCCATGATGCCTGAGAGAAGAAACAGTTTATTAACAAGAACATAAAAAATAGCATTTTTGTGTATCTAAAGATGGTTACTTGCATCACTATATCTCTGGCATGACTCATCAACAAAGTTGATTATTAGTAAATGTTTGTGTTCCTGGACCATTTCCATAACAACACATATTTATCCATGCTGCTTGATTTGTTTTCTTTTCAAACACCATTATTTGACTTTCAAAATCAAAGAGGACTCTAACAAAAACAGAGCATACTGTATATGATTGAAAAATTAGACAGCAATTAAGGTTGTAATTGAACTCACCAATGCCTACATGTGCTTCCAAGATCATGCTGACATCGTTGGCTCCATCGCCAACAGCAAGGGTTATGGGATGCTCCTTAGAAGCTTTGATTAGCTTTACAATCTGCCAATACAATAGAAAAACATTTTGATTAAATTGACTGTTACTCGGGAAGTTAAGCTGCCTTGAGGTTATTTGAAAAAAAAAACGTCTGTCACCTGTGCTTTCTGCAGCGGCGCCATGCGACAGCAGAGAACCGCGCTACAGTTGCGACAGATCTCTAGAAAGATCTCTCTGTAGTTGCCATGGCCGGCCACCTCCTGGTTTGGCTTTAATAATGCAGAGAGAGTAGCCCCGTCGATAATTAGGCCGAAATCCAGGCAGTCTACTAACAATCTAGAGGGAAGCACCACCAAATGAACAAGATTTACTTGCACAGGCCACTGAACAAAGAAAAAATGCTAGATTGTGTTGTACTCATTGCAAAAATTAGAGTGCATTACACCATACCCAGATATGGAGCGTTGTCTAAGAACTGTCTTGTTTAGTTCAAACAGAACATCATGCAAGCTCTGCTCTTCTGTGCGTTTCTTGGTCAGCTCCAGGATCTGGGTGCTGCGACGAAACAGCTTGCTGGCGTAGCACGTAGCAGTAGCCGTTTCCATTTTGTCCCCTGTGAGGACCCAAACCTTTATCCCAGCCTTGTGCAGCGACTCAATGGTGTCCGCAGCTTTCTCCTGGAGCCTGGGCATCAATAAGTCAATAAGTGTGTCAACCCCCACTGAAGTAGGTTTCAGCGATCCATCTAAAGTTCAGTCTATCCATTACCGACTGGTGATAACTTATCAATGCGCCACCACCCCTGTCCTTGCCCATCAGCAGTTTATCTATTAGGAAATTAAACTGTCAAGCAGTTGATCTGTCCGGGTCGATACTGAAGTCTATTTAATTAGTGCAAAAGATATTTCATACGCAGGAAAAAAAAGAAACTAAAAGCAAAGCGACCAAAGAGAGCTCACACTGAATCTTTTCTGTCCTAACTCGTGAAAGTCACTGAATTCAGTTTTATGATTCATTAATCTCCAAGTGTCTCTCTGCTGCAGTAGCTCCATCTTTAAATCTTTCCCTTCCATTCGCCCCTCATGTACCAACCTGTCCTCCACTGCTGTAGCACCCAGAAGGACAAAGTCCCTCTCGATGACGTCATAGGCCTGCGCCAGCCTCTGCTCCCTGTCCTGCAGGGCCAGCTTGGCTTCAGTCAGGTGACGACACGCTTCCTGATAATCAGCCTGGGACAACCTTCGATAGGCGACGCACAGAGTCCGAAGCCCCTCCTGGTTTTAGAGTCAAGAGGTAGATTAGGAGACATTATCCAAATAATTGATGGGATTCAAAATGTGAATATGAATTATGAGAAGAGCCAGAAAGCATCAAATATCATTACGACTCTTGATAAAAGGAAAGATCATGGTTTTTCCACCAGCAGCTTTTTAACAGGAATGCCAGGTTTGTTAGAAGGGCCCATGAGGGCAATCTTTTTCCTTCCAGGCTTAGTCAGTCAGTGTGTGGTTTGTAATGACATCTCAGCTGTCAAACTAAAGAGTCCTGACTTGAGGGGTGTATGAAAAGAAAACCACCTTCCTCCTGTAACTACTGATGTTGCACATACTTGTCTCTTTTTATTGAATCTAAAATGAGCAAAAGAGAGAAGTCGATGCAGAAAATACACAAAAAAAGAGGCATTCTAGGTTTGAGACTGTTACTTTTTAAACCATCAACAATTTATATAATGCGACACAAAAGTGTCAACCGTTTTGTTACAGCATGTGGTTAAATTTCATATTTACGGTTAGAAAGGAATGCAAAGTATTGCAAGAGCTTACATGGATAATTTCATTTTTTTCACAGGCTCAGATAATTTTTTGGTCCTTTGATGCATCGCTGAGGACAAAAAAAGACTTGCTGAACACGTGACTTGCGCACACTCACTCGAAGCCTCCTCTTGGCCATTCCTTATGTAGGTGAAGCTTAAGAAGTTGCACATCTGTACAGATGTTGCACTGCTGAGTATACGGTAATATGTGGGTCAAAAGCAGGTGGGTAGGCCAGAAGGAAAATGAAGAGGCACAGCTGTTAGTAAATGTGTGAGCAAAGCCGTTTTCAAACAGAAAATGCTCAGATAAACCTGCCCAGCTCATTTTTAATATAACCCTTTTACACTTGGAGCTCGCTGCTGGAGCTTATATTTAATTAATTGGGTGAGCAGCGATGTCTGTGGAGGAAAAAGTTCAGATCTGGTACCTCATTTTGGGTTCATCATCTGTTCTATTTTCACATGAGCTCTTCTAGACATCGCACAGACTTGGCTGTTGTAGAAGGAAGTCACTTTACAGCGTTTTAAATGTTATTGTTATTGATTTTAGCATTTAGTGCCTTCATTATCCAGAGTTTTTTTTTTTAACAGTCAGGTCATCAAATTTGGTTTTCAATTTAAAACAGTAATGTTAACCATCAGAAATGTTACCATGGTAAGTAAAGGAACCAGTAAAGGAAATGTACATGTGGCAGGGTCCTCACAGTGTTTGATCTGACTGAGGCAAAAATGTGCACTCTCAAATACAAATTGATAACTCTAGAAAAGTTCACGTTAACGGTCACAGAACTGTATTACCGGTAGTTACGGTATTACAGGGTTTTGATGTATGATGATGAATTCTTACATTACGTGTTTTAGCAGAGATCTGTACTCTCAAAAGTTTTAAATGTTTCTTTTTGCATCTCGACATAACATTTTGATTGAACTTTTGGTGGAAGAGACTATTTTTTTTCCCTAAATTAAGAAATATTTAGGTTTAATTATTAAATTATTTTACACAAGGTAGAAGCTAAGACAAGTTCATCATCTTGAAGCAATGAAAACATATTACTGTATGAATGTGATGGACCCGTGGGCCCATCTTACATCTGTGCTGGTCAAAATGTTCACTTACTACAGCATTCTGCTCCACTCGGGCTTTAACTTGCTCCACCTTTCCAGATACTACTCGTGGAAAAATGGATGAGTCGGCACCTTTGCAGAACAGCAGGTACTCTCCTGAGAATCCACACACAAACACACAATCAAGCATATTGTAAGCAATGTGGAGGAACAGTGTAGCATGTTATTATGAATTTATTGAGAGTATTTCTGTTACACTGTGTGAGAAGCTGTCTTACCTGAGCTTGACTTGACTATGACGCTCATTCTTCTTCTGACAGAGTCAAAGTTCAGCACATGGAGCAGCTCAAACCTGAAGAAGAGATGGTGTCAACATAAAACACACAACCTTCTTAGATGTCACAACCTCCTTTATGTGCATTCGACTCCTGGAAATAAATACAATTTCTCTAAATCAACAAAATTCCCCATTTGTGCACTTTCAAGCCCACCGAGGCTTTTCCTTGCAAGTTCTGCAAAAGAGAGGCCTACATTTATTTTTCATGTTAAACGTCTGTTGTGTGATCACAAATATAAAACTAGATGGGGTCTTTTTGATCAGTTTTGTAAGATTTGCCATTTGCAAAAAAATGACGAATGCAAACCGTTTCCACTAAAATTATCCGAGGGCGCCCCGCCCTGTCAGCAGAACCTGTGCCCTGCCAACAAAATCAAAAACCTTAAAATGTAAGAGGACTTTAGACTTTATTTGTTCCTAATGCTACTAAGGTCTCCTAAAGAGTTCAATTGAAGCAACCCTTTCTTGCTGGATCCTTCTTGGGTTTCTAAAATAGCTCACTATTGACAGGTCACTGCTGAGAGTGATGCAAACCAAGGCTGCTTACACAAACTGACTGTAATAAATTAAAACATTACACAATTTCCATAAAGCCTCTCTCCAAAGGACTCTTCCATCCATTTTCATTCATCAGTTAAAGTGTTTCCATCTGACTTATTGAGTCAGTTCAAGCTGCAGATTTTTTACACCTGTACTGAACGTGTAACACAAGCCGAGAGCTAATTTGTTAGCTGATGTTGAACCCCATTAGCTGGACTGATCCTGGTTTATCGGTTGTGGGGTAATGACAAAATTTAATAAACTAACCTTTCAATTTCATCATCTTTGTTGAGGATCTCCATGTAGCTGTCTTTCAGTCTCAGATAAGTGTAGCCCAGCCTGGAATATGAGAACAAAGGGGAAAAAAAGATAAATCAAAAATAGAGAGACTGAATCTGTTCTAGTTAGTTTAAAGCATCCTGCGCTCACAAATGTGCAAAACACAGCAAACATCTGAGAAATAGTTTGTTATTGTGTAAATGTTATGGTTCTTTCTTGTGTTTTCTGCTAATGTGTATATACATGTAAATACAGTATATATATATATATATATATATATATATATATATATATATATACATACATACGCACGCACGCACGCACGCGCACGCACGCACACACACACACAGTATATGCACACATGACTTTAGGTTGCTTTGAAAGAAAAAGTTAATCAGGCTAATGATATGTATTGCCACATAATAAAGCAGAACTTGGGCCAGCAGCTTCTTATTTTTTTGTACAACCCTATAATTTTTTCCTGTCTGTCTCCAATTTGTCTCCTGTCTAACGCCAAATGCTAGGAAACACCTTGTAACTGTGACCTTCCTTCCCTCCATTGACTACGGTGAGATTATTTACATGAACGCCCCTACAAGCACCCTGCAGATGTTGGACGATGTCCATCACAGTGCACTAAGATTCATAACTGGCTGTAACTACTGTACCCACCATTGCACCCTGTATTCACTGGTTAACTGGTCATCATTGACTTCACATAGACTCTCTCACTGGTACATTTTCATCTTTAAATCACTTCTTGGTCTGCTGCCTTCATACATCTCCTCCTACATGTCTCTACGTCAGGGCAGCTACAGCGTGCGCTCTCAGGACATTATTACATGCAGTGTCCCCTCAGTGGGACCGAACTTGGCAAAAGGGCCTTCACCTACTCTGTTCCTTTATCCTGTAATATCTTGCAAAAAGATCTGAAGCTCTCGACCTTGACCACTCTAAGTGTTTTCAAACACCTGCTAAGTTCCTGGCAAAAACCAAAGCAGACATGTTCCTGTTTTTAGTATTTTACATCGTTTTACAATGTAGCCGTTTTAATTTAGTTTTTTTTAATATATCATTTTTCTTCCATTTAATTATTCAGTTTATATGCTTTCTTTTATGATTGTCTGCTGTTGTCACCACTCTTTGTTAAAATCAGGTTTCTCTTGTAAATGAGTCCTCGAGGCTCAGTGAGACTAACCTGTACAAATAAAGGGTGAATGGATTTTTTTTTATCCAAGACTGAGATTTATTCTTTGCCAGTGTGATGCTGCATTTGAAATCAATTAAAGGGAAATCTTTTCACACAACGCAAAAACAGCCTCAACTAGTGCTGCACAACATATGGAAAATGAATAAATATTATGAAGGATGGCTTGGACTGTAATAAAGCACACAGCAATTGTTGTGAGGAATTTTGATGATAAAACAGGAAAGAAGTGAGTAAAATAAAATATAATCACTGCAATAGTCTAAATGCAACTCAAAATATACAGAAGCTCACAGCTGAGTGCTGAAATTAACATTTGAATTTGACTGATGAAAGTCAACCAGATCACACTCCGAGCATGATCCCATGTAATAAAAGGAATGCTAGGACTTTAATATTTAAGTATCCATTTAGTACATGTTTTTTCAAGTATTTTTTAACTGGTTGAATCTGTACAGGCCAAACCAAAATAAAACATTTACCCACTGCAGCTGCAAGAATCCCAAAGATGATGAAAATATAACTTTAGCCACTTTCAGAAAACACTTTCAAGGTGAAACTAAAATGCAATCACTGTGCGAGAGGCGGGGGACGTCCTGGACAGGTCTCCAGTCCATCACAGGGACACATAAAGACAAACGAGACAAACAACCATTCACTCTCTCACTCTCACCTAGGGACAATTTAGAGTTACCAATCAGCCTAACATGCATGTTTTTGGTCTGGGGGAGGAAACTGGAGTACCCGGAGAAAACCCACACATGTACAGAGAGAACATGTGAACTTCACTCAGAAAGGCCCCCGGCCGGGGTTCAATCTGGCAACCTTCTCACTGAGAGGCGGCACCATCCCTTTATCGCAAAATCACTTTGTAACAAGCACACAAGACCAACATGGCTATTAATCAGCAAAGTTAATTTTCTTAAATATCTATGTTATTCAAACATTAGACATCGACTTGACTACAAAGCATTTCCCACCAAATACTAAATATGACAACGTGTGTCTGATAAATGCTAAACTGGATTTCCTCTCAAAACTGAAACAATACCTTACTTATTTATAATTTCTAAATACTCTCTTGTGTTATATTGTGGTTACCGTTTCATTCCTTCTACCAAAGCTACTTCATCTGGTGAGGAAGAGATGTAGAAGGAGGTGGGCCTGCCCTGGTGGATGCCTCTCTTGATGCTGTCCACCGTCTCCTCCTCCTTCACCTGCACCGTGTGGCACAGACACAGCGCCCGGAAAAACAGATCCTCATACTCCTGCAGACACACATGAACATACCATTAGACACAACAATTCATTATTTATTTAAGGCAACCAAGTTCACTTCAAAGGTGCATCACTTTCCTCTATTTCCTTGACATATTTTATACTAGATGCTGTCTAGTGACAAAAGTGATTTTTAAAATTTATTTGCAATTTATTGCAGAAAAACCTGCAGTGAAACAAGAAACATTTCTTGACTTTTGCTGCTCATGCTGGCAACACAAGTTTTTTTTCTTTAATTAAATTTAAACTTATCTTTGATGCTACAGCAATAAATGTAAGGCACATCATTTTTTATGTACCTGAGAACAATTCTTCTCTAGGTAACGGGAAAAAAAAAGTAATTTTTGCAAGAATATAGTTTTAGAACAAAACAATACAACCATATATTTCAGACAATAATTATTATTAAAGTTAGGTCTACTGTGTATTTAGCAGTCTGATTATTGTGTAAAACATGCAAACTTACTCTTCTGTATCCTCCAGGAGAGGAATCGATCATGTCTATGCTAGAGGCAGCGCTGAGGATTTGACCGTTGCAGATTGCATGTGGAATGTAGACGTTGCCATCAACGCAGCATTCGATAAACTCCATGTTGTTCTCAGTCAGAGTGCCGGTCTTATCAGTAAACACATACTCCACCTGACAGGTAGGCAAAGACAGGGTACACTGAGGGTCTGTTTACACAAAAGAATATTGACACAAATGTCAACTCTTCGGTGTGTTTAGTAACAAACCTGTCCCAGCTCTTCGTTTAGGTCAGAAGTGTTCACCTGAGCTCCCTGTCCCAGCTCTTCGTCAAACATCTCCTCATCCCAAGCGATAAAATAAGAGCCGAGAAATTTCTGCATCTCCACCGTGACATACATGGAAACTGGGATGATGTAATTAAACAAGACCATGAAGGCCAGGAAGTCTGTGAAGGCTCGGATAACCTGGAAACAAGTGGGACAAGCGAGACATTTTTTAGATAAATCAAAAGTGGTTAGGAATTTGTTTTTACACCCAGAGGGTTTTAGGACAGACCACGTGGCGCTGGCGCTCGTTCTCAGTCCTGTGGTTGTACCAGGGCTCGTCTCGGTCAGGAGACCACTGCCAGGCGTATTTCAGGACAGTGTTAATCACAGCTTTACTGATCAAGATGCACAAGTACACAACCAGAAAGGTGTTCATGGACCTGCAAAGAGTGGCAGAGAAACAACCAGTCAGCACCATTAACTAGACTTGAGAGAACAAACAATTTCAAACCATCAGAGCCGAGTCATTAATCTTACTTCTCAACAGCAGAGCGCTTCTGAGATTTCGACTGGTAATTAAGCGCCATCTTGGTCTCCATGCCAGTGTAGACAGCCACAGCTGAGGAAGAGAAAACAAAGATAAACATCGTAAGGCTCTTTACATAAATAATCAAAACACGGATGCAAATTGAAGTTAAAATACCATAAATATGTTGTGTATTCTTCAGTGTGGCTCCTCTGAGAAGTAAGTTTTCAGCTCCAAGTGTTCTGCAAGAAAACAGATAAAAAGCATTTTATTCAATAACTTGAACTAAATACATGAATTTATTTAATAAACTAAGCTTTTTAAGAAAATATGCAGATGCTTTCAAGAAACGTACTAGTACGAACACACATAATACACTAATAGCACACCCACCTCGAGACGGGCTCCTCTTTGTCCTTGTAAATGTTGATGCGTCCCACAAATCTGGAAAAAACAGACAACAACATTAAATCAAGATGTACAAGGCGATAAGGTCAGAACTTGTACCAGGTCCGTGTGTAATGAGGACACACTTACTTGTAGAGGTCAGGTTGTGGTTGTTCACATTCAATAGTGGCATGTAGCGAGTCCACCTCCTGCTCTGTTCTAAAGGCCATGGTATCTGGTACAGCATAATAGGTCTGAGACAGAAAGGTGGAGAAAAGGGACAACAGATGAAAATGTCACCAACACACTACTATGAAGAAGGGGTTTACTTAGTGTCCTTGTCTCGCTAGGTTTGAAAAATGACACAAAGAATCTGTGAGAACAGCAAATGAGCAGTTGTTAAGTCAGAAGGGTGAAAGGCTTACTCAGATAGTTTATAAAGGGACGATGGATAGAGGGTTCTACACTACATAGTAGTACACTATGCATGTGCATATATACACTATAGACAAGATCTGGGATAGTGTGTATTTGAGCCAGTAAGCGTTGTCAAAGAACACAAGAAAAGTGGGATGTTCAGATGAATGTTATTAACAATAATAGGTGTGAATGTGAGATGTGTTGTGAACAATGGACAACCTTGTAAATCACCGATTGTTTTTCTTGGTTAATAGCTGCTATAAAATTTTAAACAGTAAAAATACAGTTCAATGTTGAAATAAACATACATTTTGATCATAAGGGCATCATATGCTTAAAATTAAGGTGAATACACCTTTACATATTTGTCCTTTGTTTAACCCAGAAAGTCCCACTGAGTTAATCTCTTCTTCCAGGAGGGGTTTGGGGAAGACTGGGATTGAACCAGTAACCCTCATCTATTTCAGTAATGCACATTATTATTATTATAATTATTGCAAATGACTATAAAGAATCTCTGACATTATCTGACATATTTTACCTTGCATATAAAAATGTATTTTACGCAAAATATATGTTATATTTTATTCTCCTAATGTACACGAACAGCCGAAACGCAACAGAAATTCTATGGTTTTACTTAAAAACAGCGTTGTGTTTTTAAATCTCTTCTTAAAAACGTTTTTCTACTTTGATCTTTGGCACTAGATGTTGATTTAATTTAATTCAAATGATTTTAAGTTGTTTTATTTGCTATTTAGTGTTGTTGGGGTTTTTGGGGGAATATTGAGCAGTTTATTATTCAATACTTGGACAAAACCAAACTGAAAAACATACTTGTAACTTGAATCATCTGTCCTTTGTTTTGTTTTTTCTTCTTGATACGCTTCGTGTGATACTGTCCTACTGGATAAAACCAATGTTTTGTGGTGAAAAACAACTTGTTCAGTTCCTCTACATTGGGACCTTCTTTATCCTTCAGCAGCTCCTAGTTCAGGTGGGCCTTCAAAACTTGATCATGGGTACGGTCAATGGTCAACGGTCTGTTCGTTCAATAGGGTAAATGAACTCATAAGGAATGTCAGCAGCAGGATGGTAGCATACAATGGTTTTCTCATCTGAAGTTACGCCTATTTCCACTTTACATTTAGGGCCATTAAGTGTGTTGGCACTGGTCTTCTGTCGAACCGACACCATCCAAGTTTGTCCATTTCACAGTGTGGGACTGTAAGAAAATCATGTTAAAATACCGTGCAGCTTGCACAAGTGACGCCATGCCCAGTTATTTTGGAAAGTGCGTCACTAAAATACTTCTGTCTTCGAGGTCCTATTTAGTGCGGTTTTGACCATGTTTTTTGTATTTAATCTATTTTTTGTTTTAAGTGGGTGTGACTGCTATTACAGCTTTTATTTAGCATTTTTATTTTTCTGGTTAACATTTAATATACGTATATTTTTCTGTTATCGTGTTGTAGTGAACTGTATATGAACATACTGTATTAAAATAGGAACTGTAATAAACTTTGAACCTGGATCTAATTTGAATTTATGATTTTTACTTATTTTTGCTTTTGTATTGTGACCTCAGTTTGCTTCTGTTGTGAATTCCATCCATCCATCATCTTCCGCTTATTTCAAAATTGGGTCGCAGGGGCAGAAGCTTGAGCAGGGAGGCCCAGACATCTCTTTCCACAGCCACCTCTTCCTCTACCTCTTCTTGTTGTGAATTAGCATCAGATAAAAAAACAAAACTAAATTGTTTTTTGTACAGCACTTTGGTTCTTTGTGATTTTTTTTACAGTGATTTATGAATGGACTGTAAATGGACTGTACTTATATAGCACCTTTCTATCTTATCCAGATACTCAAAGCGCTTTACACTATAATCTGTGTCCTCATTTACCCTTTCATACAGATCTCTACTAGATCTCTACAAAGCTAGTTGAACAAATCATTCTAAAGAGACTAATCCGTGCTTTATTACATTCAAACACCGATGGGACACATCGGAGGCAATTAGGGGTTCAGTGTCTTGCCCAGGGACACTAAGGCATGTGACTGCTGGTGGATTCGAACCCCCAACTCTTGCATTGGAGGACGACTGCTCTAACCACTCAGCCACAGCCGCCCTTATGACAAAGCTGGATTGTATTGGAAGTGAAATTACCTAATATAAAGCAACATTTCTGAACCTCAGAAATCTTTTAAAAAGAAGACAGCAAAAAGTAATGATAATAGAGTGAAACTCAGGGTTATACAACTATTTTTGACAGGAGACAAAATGCAGGAGAAATCAGTGCATTAACCACTGGATGGTATTGATATTACTGTGTTTTATGTCTGCAGCAGGATGTTTTAAAAACCTGGGCCACTTCAACAGTTGACTAAAATATGCTTTTTAACCAACTATCAAAACTAACAACCTGCAGATGAGTCAAATTTTTTTTTTTAAGTAAATTATCATTTCCAGAAGGGCTTTAGGACTTATGGTTTCATTTAATGAATGAAAACAATGTTTAAAATATGGTCATGCATGTGTCTTTTAAAGACATGCTGTTTGTGACTGATTCTGCTACAAAACAAAATAATAATAAATGAACAAATTTGTCATATTAAAGTAAAAAAAAAAAAAAACACAGGAGATTAGTGAAAAATGTATGACATGAATTGCACATTGCCTGGAATGATGAGAACATGGCTTACTCACCATGCTTTATGCATTTTTTAAAATCCTTTAGAGAGTATATACAAATCAATCATATGAGGATTTGCTTTTGGTAATACATAAAGTCTGTGATCCAACCTGCCTGGCAACAGTGTTATTGTTTTCTTTTGCAGATAGACTCAAATAGATTTTATACTCTTACATAACGACCATTGTTTTGTGTGAGCAGGAATGCATTGTTGGGTTAAAAAAAAAAGAGAGAGATAAATTCTGTGCTTTTTGGTACTTGAAAAGCTCCCAAATGTAGCTGATCACAAACCTACAGTACAACTTTACTGCAGATATGTTGTGATTTTGCATGACAATTTAAAAACTAGTTTAATGCAAAACTGATTAAAAATATTCATTACTGATCCTGGCACCTTGTGACTTGACTCCCCATCGAGGCTGGTGGTGGTGACGTAGCAGATGCCATCGTATCGGCTGGAGGAGAGAAAGATGAGGTCACAGGGAAAAATCTCGTCCTCTCTTACCATGACGATGTCACCCACCTGAAAGAAAAGGACACAGGTTCCTAATCAGTAACAAAGCCAATATAGTTAGTGATAAATACTGAACAAATAGAAAGACCTGTTCAACATTTATAATTTTGGTTCTTAAAGGATTTTTATTTTCAAAGGATTGTGAAGTTGCATAACAGATTATGCGAGCAGAGCAGCTTATACTCTAATAAATCCGGTCTCCACGGTGACCGTGCACATGACACACACACTGATTTCATATGATTAATATATTCATCATTATTCCCAATTCACACTCTAATCCTTGCCGTTTGATGTGTGGAAGAGACGGACTGTGGTGCAGAAAGAAGATGCGAAGCAGGCAAAATGAAAAGGTTCAAATAAAGATGGCAATATCGACAGAGATGAAAAAACAAGGTTTTGAGACAAAAATACATTTACGTTGTTTCTTTACTAATGACATTCACAGAAAACTACTGTACTGGTAACACAAACTCCAGTGATCTGCAACCTTTTATTGCTTGGCAGCTGTACTGAAGCTGTATATTCTGAGCTGACCCTCAGCATCCCACACCGTCTCTGCACGCTCACAAATGAGCAGCAGACACAGCAGAAACTAGATGTTCCAGCACTCATTACCTACCTGCTGACAAAATGGTGTTACAAGACTAAAATATAGTGGGACTGAATCAATGGATCTGCACAAGGGGTGATGAGTTGGATCAGTCACGTTATACAGCCGGACACTGTTTTCATTAAATGCTTGGATGGAGGAGGAAAGATGTCTGAAGAGCAGATAGCAAACTATTGGGCATCAAGGTAGTTCATATATTTTCCCTACAGAATGTCAAAATGCATTACTTTTACCAAAGCTGCCATAAATAAAATGGAACATAATTCGCAAGTGCCTTATTACGCCAACTTCTGAGTTTTTTTATTTAATTAATTTTTTTACAACTGTTACCACTTGCCTTATTTTCTGAATTAAAACATTTAACATGGACTACAGGATTTACCTGGATAACACACTATTATTGACAGTCACTGATAACAGTTGATAAACACTATAAAATGCACGTTTAACATTGATCAAACATATAAACTAAGTCAAATCTGACTTTGTGGCCCAAGGATGAAATCTTTATTAACAAGCCTTAAACAAGTTTTTTCCTAAAATAATTTATGAAAATACATTCTAATTCAAAGTGGCACAATATTAGAAACATGTCACATAAATATTGTTGAATACTGTGAAGGTAATATTAGCTGTGGGAAAAAAAGAAAGACTTTCCTCACTCCTCTCATAACTCTCCTTGTGCTTCATCACCTCAACCACTACACTGAAACCATGTGTGGGCAGAGAAGTGACAGTCCACTGAATTGGTAACAACATAATTATCATGCAGAGCATGAATTAATTATCCCCTAGAAAAACAACAGCCTATGATTTATTGTGACCCTGTGATGGACTTGCGACCTGTCCAGGGTGTACCCCGCCTCTCGCACAATGATTGCTGGACATGAGCACCGGCGACCCCCGTGACCCAAAATGGAAGAAGCGGGTAAAAGATAATGGATGGATGAATTGTTATTGCAAATATACGTTTTCAATATATTGTGCAGCCTATTTTAAATGTGTCATGCTGTTTTTTAGTGACAGTAACTTTAGCCATCATGAGAATCAAGAACTATATTAAAGATAAACAGGCAGAATATCTCAGTTACACAATAAAAAGCTGAATGATTTACCTGCATTGGCAACAACTACTGGTCCAAATTAATTGACAAATAGCAGAATTTTGAATATAGACAAAAAATGCAAAGATGTACATTCTTAACAAAACACCAAAATACCACAAGCCAAATATAAGACGGGTGAGTTATTTAGGAAAATTACATTTTAATTAAGACAACTTCAGAGGGAAACCGTCAGTTTGAAATAGGGCTTTAACAGACTACTCGAGTAATCTACACATCGATTCCTAGGACATCAATTGAGTTTTTAAATTTCACGTAGAGTATTCGTAGTGACGTCAGTACGTCGCCGTTACGTCATTGCGTCACGCGTCACGTGATCCACACCGGGCACGGGCTACAAAATAGATTCCTCCAAGCAGACGGATGAAGCGGAGCAGGCCCAGTCTTGGCAAACAGGTAGAAATGCATCAATAATCTGGAAATATTTCACTAAAGATGAATCTTCCGGTTCAACTATCGTAAGGAAACAGAAAATGAATCAACTTCCTGACTGTTTGGAGCTCGTTGCGAACTGGTGTTACACCATATTCTGTGACCACCGTATATTGTGACCGTAGGGGGCGGTGTTGCATGCACTATTGCAGGTCACAGAATATGGTGTAACACCGGGTCCAATCGACTGAACCAGAACCAGCTTCCTCTGACCTTGTTTCACAAACAAAAAGCAAAAAATACAAATCTGTAAACCTATTAAAAAAAAAAAAACTATAAACATATCAATCTCTAAAACTAAACCTAATGCGCATCACTGCGGGCGGTGGTGCGGGGTGGATGACTGCCCCACTGTGTTTAAGTTTCTTTTTTTTATGTGCCGGACGTTTCTTTCACTTTTGCAGCTTAATAATAATAACTAATAGTTTAGTTTTTCCTCTGAATTGGCATAATTTCAGACTATTTCCACGAAGTGATCCCACATGCTTCCAACTCGGTCCCTAGCACTTAATCGATTGAGGTTAAAAGCCAGACAAGTCGAGCTGAAGATTTGACATCAAAGAACTACTGATTGACCAGAGAGCCAAGTCATTCAGGAGTGCAGCTCTTAAAAGAATCAAAAATTTTTTACAAACTCAGAATTATCATCCCTTTTTGTTATTAGCTTAAAAAAAATATGGTGTATATATATATATATATATATATATATATATATATATATATACACGACGGCTCTGTGGTTAGCATCGTTGCCTCACAGCAAGAAGGTCCTGGGTTCAATCCCCAGTTGGACATGAGGTCTTTCTGTGTGGAGTTTGCGTGTTCTTCTCGTGCTTGCGTGGGTTTTCTCCAGGTACTCCGGTTTCCTCCCACAGACCAAAAACATGCATGTTAGGCTGCCTTCAGGCCCAGGCCTCCCTTGCAAAAGAGATCTGTGATCTTACTGGGATTTGCTTGGTTAAATAAAGGTTAAAAATTAAGATAATTTAGAAATTATTGACAGGAACACATCTGAACTGAAAAACCAATATATCTGATTTGCAAAGAAACGGCAGCACAGACAAGTTCTTCCTCCACCGGTTCATAAATCACAGGTGAAGTGTTCACGCGCTCGGGTGTGAGCTTTAAGCAGAGTCAAAAGAGGCGGAGCAGAACTCAGCTGGGCTGAAAGAGAGCGAGATGCGTGTCGAACTTCATGTCATTTACTATAATGAATTAACTCACTTAATCCAACCTATTTGTGGTTAACTAGTTCTTTAAACTAACTACAAAGATGCTGTGCGTCTTCATCAGTATTCCCCCAGTAATAAATCTGTTTGTTGTTATTTAATCCAGCCAACAGCTGCGTGAGGGGAGTGCGCCCCCATGACAGCATGCAGTCTTTTGACTTGTGTTTCTCCTTAATTTATTCCTTATAATTAAACATTATTAACACCAAAACATGGATATTTGTAGGTCCCAGATTAAAGCAAAGATGTGTGCTTCTGTTAAATTTTATTTTATTTTCCCTCAAGCTCACAAAGTTTTATCTGCGAGAAAGTCCCAGAGAGACTGCAAAGCATGCTGGGAAGTCTTTTGAAAACTGTGCAATGTTTGACTGTTTACAATGTTTGTGAGTGTGAAAATGGGTTGTTCTGGTTAATGTCCTGTTCAGGTTTGCTTTGGCATTTATGTTGAAGTCAGTTATTGACTGTAAACTGACTCCATGAGTCAGAGGTTGTTCCAGGTACGTATAAGGGGGAATTAACTGTGTGCTTGAGCAGAGAGTATCCTCACTGGAGAATGAAGTCTCAGGTTGATGCTTGGATTGTCCTGGCTTGGCCTTGGGTGTGTAAGTAAATGCTTTCAGAGGGGAGGGGGCTCCCACATAGTCAAGCGGACCGGATTCGACTTGAAGCAGATGCCCGCAGGGCATGTCCATGCAAAGATCAATTTTTACGACCATGTACGCGTACTCGGTGTCACACAAAAAACTGTCTGGCAACAGACTGTTTTGTTTGCGACACCAATGTATTAAGCTCCCCTTCTTCATCCGTGGTCTGGTTTAATGGCCTTCTCTTTTGTTTTGTTTTTTCCCAAGAGGCAAGTGATCTCTTCCTCCTCGTCCATTGATGCCATGACTGAAATTGTGAAAAATGAAGGAATTTATCATGAGTAAATTAAAATTATGCCCAGAAAATTGAGAGTGGCACATGACAGGATTGCCTCTCTGACTGAAATATTTGCCATTAAATTTTGTAAAAAGTCTCTCTCACTGTATTTTCTGATAGATTTTTTCTTTATTTTTTTATTAATGAACTCATCAGTGGGCCAGACTTAAGTCACCCCTGGGTCAGAAGTGGCCCGTGGGCTATCAGTTGAATAGCCCTGATCTAGAACGTGTAGACCCAAGTTGAGTTTAGCAAGTTGTTGTGAGACTGGACAATGAAAATATGTTATAATAGCGTTTAAACTTATCAAATGTTTGCAATGCATATCCCTTAAACATGTTGGTTGGAACTAAATAAAGAACACTTTTTAAGATAGCAAAAACTCAGTGATAAAGTTCTACTAATAAATTGCAGCTAAAGGGATCGCCATGAAGTCTGATGTTTTTTAAATAACTCAATCAGGCAAAGACTGACCCCGTCTTGCATCAGAATGACAAAGAGAACATTAAAGAATGATGATAGAAGCAACATGACTCATGAAAGGGAGCAGTCTACTACAGTTTCAGAGCAATTAATCGGTCGGACAAACAAGGGAAACCAAGTTAGAGAGCACTGCAGAGAGGAAAAAAGGGAGTGAGAGCGACAGTTATAAAAAATGTGAGCATTGCAGCAGTGCAGCAGTGTTGCTTTGTGGCCTCAGGTGCACCAATGGTCTAATGAGGCCATTCTTACCCGTAGTTTGTGACTCTGCGTCCTCACCACCTTCCCCTGCTGCACCACATCCACCGGACACTCATTTATGGAGCAGTCAGCTTTGTGTCTGAGCCAGTCCTCATAGCCCTAAGAGAGTTGCAAGAAAGGCACAGAAAACAAGTTTATAAAGGAAAAGAAGATAGGGAAAGAGCAAGTAAAAATCTTTGTGCAGAGTTTTGAGGTGTAGCATGAGATGAAGAGGCACAAAGGAGGAGGTGATGGTTCTGCTCTGGAAATAATTAGCATTGATCTCCTTTCGCTTGCTGACCTCTTTCCTATATTTCTAGCTTTAGATTTATGTTCCTGTAAACCTTAAGACCTTAAGACTCCTTTACAAGAATAGCTTCATCTATCACTGATAGCAGCTAATTTCTCAGTAGTGGGAGATGCTCCTCTCTCAGAGGCTCTAGTGATTAACAGAAGAGAGCATTCATAACCATATTTCTCACATCAGCAGACATATTCAATAGTGTGTCCTCTCACTGCAAGAGGAATGTGCACATACAGATAATAGAGAAGTTGTTTGGTAGGGTGTGTGTCTTATCTAAGAACAGAAGATGTTTGAAGCAATGCTTCCCAAGAGATCTGAGCCTGTTTGTGAGCATCCTACCTGTTTAATGGCTGTGACAGTGATAACAAAGAAGAGGGGCAGGCCACTGGTGACTGGACTGGTGGGGGTGTCAATTATAAGCTGCGAGAGTAACAGTTGACGAGAGAAGGATGTAGATAGGGGGAGGGTAAAGAGGGGACAAAAGAAAAGAGAGTTGGGTGAGGGGTTCAGAGAAAGGCAAGGTTGTAAGAGCAGCTTTGGTTACAGCTTATAAAATCAAAACTTTCATTCCTTGAAGAAATTCATACCACCCGATGCATTTCATGTCAGAGTTCTGAACTAAGATTGCCTTATGATAAGAAGTGATAGTTATTGTTTTATTGTCAATCCTAGTAAATTACGTTAAGCATGGTCTTATAATATTATATATAAGATATTGCAATATATTACAATATTGTAAGAGCTTGTGAAATGTGCTAGTGCTTGGAATGTATTTTGTTGTGGATTTTTAGCTACCACAGCAAATTTTAGCTACCATATTTTCTGCCGTGCACGTCGCACCGCCCTATAAGTTGCATCAGTCCAAACATGTCTAATAAAGTGGAAAAATCCATAAATACGTTGCTTCGCCATATACGTTGCATCTATTATGCGTCACTGCTGACACGTTGTGTTTGTTAAGCGTCACTGCTGACAACCTGTAAATGTGGGCCGGTGTTGTGCCAAAAATCAATTGGCTGCCAAATGGCGGCCGCGGGAGTGCGCACGGGAGAATTTAACAAGATTAACACTTAAAAACAATTATTTGTTTGTTCAAAATTATAGTAACTGTGTGTCTCAGTCTAACTTTTGCTTAATAAATGCACAAGTATTTGCTACCTCTGTGCTACGGTAGCGAGTAGACAGGGAGGAAAAAAGGAAGGAGGAACGCTGCGCATTTCTTAAAAATTTAACAATATAACCACCTAAAACAATTATTTGTTTGCTCGACTTTATAGTAAAGGTGTGTCTCAGTTGAACTTTTACTTAATAAATGCAGTTCAATAGACAAATTAGCTGCATTTCACTGTGGCGGCGCAGCAAAGTAAAGCCGATTTGACGGTTGCTCCAAGCGAACTGGACGAAGGTGGCAGGCTATGGCAAGCCTATTTTGTCATTAATAGACACTTTTACCTATCACATGACACAACGGCATGCTATACTACTCTGCTGCCATCTAGCGGCTGAAAAATGGTAGTGTTCAATATTTTCAGTCAGAATGAATGAAAACGGTCATATCTCAGCCAAAAATTGGTTTATAAACATGGGGGAAAAAAATCCATAAATATGTCGCCTTGGCCTATAAGTCAAAGGAAATGCAAATTATGCAAAACAAAATGCGACTTATACAGCGAAAAATATGGTAATCTGTTTACTTTAAACGTTTTTGAATTAGCTCAGAGCGATTAACTGTAGCAGCCATCTTGATTTTGGTTGACTCCAAAAGTATATTAGTAGTAGATGAACACATAACGAGGGCTTTCTGAGTTTCATTAAAATCTGTTGATGGTCCTTGAGGACATTTGTTTACCAGCAAGATTGCTGACCAGTCATATTTACTCTATTTCTCCAAACTAAGTTTGTTTGATGGGTATCATCAACAGGTAAGGTATTATTTGTTCATAACCTTTCCAAAAAAACCTGCTTTAAATGATCTAAGCTATCATTTTAAGACAAATTACTTGAAAATCCACAAGCACAAATGCTTTCAGTTTGTTTTTAGTTTAAAAGGTGTGGTATCAAAGGTGCCAAGCTAAAATTATTCCATCGGAGCTGCGTAACAAAATAAAGATCAGTTTGTTACACAGACTTATCGAAAAAGTGTTTTAGGTAATTTGATTGTAATAATAAGTAATAATAATATTAATAATAATAATACTGACGCAACAAGTAAATGAATATTGTAGTTTTTGTTTTATTATCTCAAGCTAACTTTAACAAATCAGAAAGCAGAACAACCACAGACAATAATTGATATTATATGGCAAAAAAGATTTACAAGCACTTATAAAAGTTTTTGATGTACAAAGTATTTGAACAAATAAAAAGTGCATTTCTTTCAAGTTTCTCGGAGTTCGGAGATAATTGCAGCTTTTGATGAAATATTTACCTGGACCAAAAATATGACCAAGAAATAGAAGTTGGCGATCCTTCTGAATTGCTCGAACAGATTTTTGGGGATGAAGTTCCAAAAGGTGTACTGTGGGACAGAGTGGCAAGAAAATTATTCTTGAGACTGAAACAAAGAAAGAAACAATGACACATCACAAACATCCTCCTCTCCAGAGAAAACTGTGATGCACAGCTTCACAAACACAAGACAAGTCAATTGTGTCCTCAAAAAAAGTGACAGATGAGATTAGATGGTGTCTGAATATGAAACAGAATATCAAGATGCCAAAGTGTGCAGTGGCACTGACTGATGCTCGCTCACCTTGGAGGAGACAATGCGGTTGTCGGGATAACGCTGAGGGATGTAAGCCTCAGCTCTTGGAGGAGGCTCTTTATGCCCGATGTACACCGTCCGAGTGTCCACCCAGATCTCCTCCCCTACACACTGACAAAGAGACAGACAAAAATGAGCCAAACAGGATGGAAAGAATTCAACAGAACAACAAGAATCATGGGACACAAACACGTAAATCTTGGCCTGTGTGGGCAGTAACAGAGTGTCGCCTTGGGGAAAGCATCCTGTCTGACACAGCGTAAAAGAAGTGATTACCATTACTAAAAGTGTTGACCATTTGCAGAAACGTTGTGGGAGACAAAAATGCTCCAGTGCTTTAAATGTCAATATTGGAGCCAAGAGCACAACCTACTATTATGTTTAATGTTTCCAGTAAGATAAACACTGGATGAAAAAGATTAATGAAACATTTCTGTGAAATGAGTTAAATGAAACATTACATATTGAAATGCTCAGAATCACAGTTCTAAAACTTCTGTTTAACAACAGGCACTTGGCAATGTGATCAAAATAGACATGTAGTCAGCGTCATTAGCTAACTAAAGACTCCCCTCTAAAGCTTTAGTGGAGGCAACATGACTCTGACGGACTGAAATGAAAAGAGATGTGGAAACCGACTAAAGGGCAGTAAGCAACAGGAGCAGGAGGCAGACTGCAAGATTCATGTCATGGCATAAATAAAGTGAAAAGGGCAACAAGAGTGAAAACAAAGTGTGTCTGAAAGAAAATAAAACGGATGGGCACTTACACACACAGCTCAACTAAATACAGCATTTTCTTCCTCTGCTCAAGCATTTCAATTTCTGTGATTCCACCATTCATACCTTCACATTTCTACCTCTTTTGTTCCCATCATCAGCTGGCAGCAAGTGTCAGTGTATGACAGAGTGTGACTGCAGGACAGGGGACAGAGGAAAACAGAGAGATTGCTTTGTGTTCTGCTGTTATCTGATCATTAATCCCCACTGATCTGTATCAACTCTCATCCCTCTGTTCCCTTTCCACTCGACGGCTTCATCAGGCTATTAGCTTGCTGGTTGGTCATGGTACACGAAGGCTTTGTCTTTATTAACAAACTGGCTGTTTTTACATCATCATCAATCACTGATAGAAACTGTATAAGATACCAGACACGCACAGTAGCCCACTATATTGTGTGCTCCCTCTCCAGGAGTTAGTTTTCTGTCTGAACTAAGGATTTATAGAAAGAGAACCATAGCAGGCCTGCTATTTATAAAACTGGAAACAGTGCTATAAAAAGCCACAAGAGTGTTTCTTACTTTAGAAAATGTTTTTTACACAGTATATATCCAAACCCTTAGGTCCACAACCCTTAGCAGCATGATGATTGTATACATTTTCATCTTAAACTTAAGGGCCTAGCATTCCTTTAAGTAATAGGAATCATCTGCTGTCTTTCATTCCAGTTTTAAGTTAAGAACATCTTATGGTGATAAATGGTACTGGTTGTTTTTTGTCAAGCCTAGAAAATTATGTTATACAATCTCGAGCAATTTTGCGAGATCTTAAGCCATCTGTCAGAGCTTGAAGAGTGTTGTGAATAATTCAAGGCTACTACCATACAAGTTTACCACTACCACAAATTTAGCTCAGTATTTATATCATAAATACACCAAATGAGCCAGTCATGTCCAGTCAATCAAATGTACAAACAATCTGTGCTTACACAAATAAAGCCCATCATAAGTATAGGCGCTGTGACGTATAACTCAAGAGTGGAATTGACGTAAAGCGCCACACTTAAAATGTGTGGGCTATCTCCCATTGTGAATCCAGTGGGTAGCTGGTTTCACAGACCATCTGCCATCAATGCCGTCTTCCCCTACACATACTAACAGCTTCAGCCTTGTGACTACCTTCCTTGGTGGCTCAGCGATCTAACAGAAGCAAGATGACTTGAATCCCCATGCCACATCAGTATTTACATACCTCTAAACAAAATGGGAACAAGGCATTTCAGGACCAGATTAGAAGTCTTTAGTGAAGTGGAAAATGTGAGTTTAACCCACTTTAAAAAAAAGAAAAAAAAGAAAAAAGTTTCATTTTCAAGATTGATGCAATGGATTAGTAAAAGACACAACTCTTATTAGTTGTAACTCTACATATACCTGTACATAACTTGTATTTTTGCTCTATAGGTTCATATATATGGTTTTATTATTGTCCAATACATTATCTTTTCTATCAACTTAATTGATTTTGATGGGATAAGATGGGATATTAGCACTGAATATTGTAACTAAACAGCTTCCCACTGTTTAAGTACTTCATAGATTCACTGCATAAAGCATGTGTCTTTGGAAGCGGAAAATCCTTTTATAATGTAAGAAACATACAGTGCTCTGAAAAAAAAAAAAAGTGTTTTGAGCCATTTCTGAAATTCAAAACTTGATAATACTGTGATTCATCACACATCAAATCAGAGGCTCTACTTCCTCAGGCGGCTGAGGCGAGCTGGACTGGGAAGCTCAGTCCTCACCTCCTTCTACAGGTGTGCAGTGGAGAGCATCCTGTGCTCCAGCATCAACGTGTGGCATGGAGGCTGCACAGCTGCAGAAAGAAAAGCTTTGCAGAGAGTGGTGAAGGCTGCACAGAAGACTGTTGGAGTCAGTCTCCCCACCATGACAGACATTTACACCTCCAGATGCAGGAAGAGGGCCACCTGCATCATGAAGGACCCCACTCACCCAGCACAAACACTTTTTGCCCCACTCCCCTCAGGAAGGAGGTTGAGGAGCATTAAGTGTAGAACCACTAGACTGAGGAACAGCTTCTACCCTAAGGTTTTTAGACTCAAGAATCCTTAACCAGGATCATCACTGTAATGATACTTTAATTGGTGATATGTCACTCTATCTATGCTGCTGATTATCCATGCTGCTGATTTCTTACCTTAAGCTGCTGTATTCATACCCATCTACTCACAGCAGACTCATGTTCAGGCTGCTGTTTAATACATTGTATTATTTTGCATTATTATTGTTAAGCGTATATCTTAGATCCTTGTATATGGTTTCTTTTTTAATATTTTAGCTATTTTTGGGTGCAACTGGGACCATGAGTACACAACTTTGTTCCACCTCATGTACCACATGTGATGCGAGTAAAGAACCTTGAACCTTGAATCCAAAGTGTAAAGTGTTCAAATATTTCCTGACATTTGCTATACGTATACGTAAGCTGAAAATTTTATGTAAATTATTTTCTACTAAATCTATTGTTATGGAAACAGATGTGAAATAAGATTATAGTTATAAGTGGCGCCCTGTTTCATTTCTTTGGATGTGGTGACAGCTTGGGTTACCAGAAGTGAAATACTTGTTCAGTTTATTTTCTGTGTTTGCAGAGCTAGTGGAGGGACTTACCTGATGTGAATCATGTTCAAATAAATCCCAAGTGTTAATAGTTAGGAGTAGGCCTGTTGCAATAAACAATAAATCAATCAATCGCATGATAAATGAAAATTATCGACCTCATTTTCATTTACTGTCTTTAGCGTTCCTTCGTGTCTCTCTCTTTCTACTGAAGACACGGCTAAAATCCCGTGTTCTTCAATGACCCCTCCCTTTCTCTTTTCTATTTAAAATCCATTTTAACGATCCAAAATCGCATTTTTGGATCGTTAAAAAAGGAGCTAAGCAGAGACGCTAAGCTACGAGCTAAGCCAACAGACCGACCATAAACCTCTGCCTTGTTGAGCTCCAAAATTCACGGTTGAAACCTGTGCCTTTGTGTAAAAAGTTGTTTTTCTCTGCAAAAAGAAGCTGAGAACTTGTTTACTGATTTTTATTTTTTTCCCTTGTCCTGTCCGGCATTGTGACACTTAGAATTACTGTCTGAGTGTCAAAGTGATGCCAACAGATTTACTTTATCTAGCACAGCATTATGGCTGGCCTTAATGCTCCACTTGATATATAAATTAAATTTTATTAGAATTTGCTTTGGGCTTGTTTCAGATGTAATGGACATGGGGACGGAAAACAAAGAACATAACAAAGCAGAAAAGTGAGAGAAGAGTTAAAAGGTAAAGAAGGAGATAGGAATAGAGGAGAGAGAGAGGGATAAAGAGAACACAAATCAACATCATTGAAGTCTGCCTCTAGACCTGCAGGGAAAAAAAACACAAGACGAAACCGAGAAACCACAACAACAAACAACATATATAATGATACTTATAACATTCTTAGGAAGTATTTTATACAGTACATGGTAATACAAGATATATTTAGTGCCCACCACAACCCAACTGAGTGTGTATCTGATAAACACCTGAATCTGAACACCTGTGTGAGCATGCTTGTCACTATAAGGTTTCTCCATAAAAATGTTCTGCAGTGGATTGGGGGCCCACAGACCCGTCCCCACAGGACACGATGGTAACACAGGGAAGACCGGAGCCACAGACACACAACGGCCCCCAAGCCCGGAACTCCAGAAGTCCCCCGACAGGGACACCCGCACCCCCCAGAGAGAGAAGCAAAGGGAAGCCCTGGGCGATCTCCAGCAACCACAATGCAGAAACCGCAGGAGGCTGCAGCAACAAGTCCACAGGCCCCGCCGGCAACCCGCCCCTCCAGAGTGGATCCGTCCATGGACACCGAGCCCCGAGTCCTGAGTTCATACCACCCCCCAACAGAGGCCCGGCAGAGGCAGGGCACTCAGGCCCCGGCAAGCAGCCACCAGGGCAGGCCCACACACACCCCACCACCCAGCCCCAGCTGCTGAGAGCCGCCAATGCACCAACGGCAGGGGGGCCCACCACCGGAGGGGAACACGACAGGGGGAAGTTGACCCCAGATTAAATGGGGGGCCAAAATTGATCCAAGAGAGGGGACCACCTAAAACTCAACCCAAGACATAAACAGGCACACAGAGACAGCCCAACAGAGCCTCTGTTGGGCTGTCCATGCGCCCCACCCACCCGACAGCGACCACAAACCGGCCCCAGGCCGGGGGCCAGAGCAGCAGGGAGCAGCAGCTGAGGAATGCTGGCCCCAGCACACCAATCATAAGGCATCCCTACAACCCCACACCACAGGCCCGGAGAGGCCCCAGCACGCCACCCATGC